TCAGAATTCAGAATAATATAATTAATTAGGTTATCATGGTGAAAGAATGGAACCCGAATGCATTCCAGAACAGCTGATGGACCATACACCATTTAATATTTAATGAAATATACTTAATATGGTCTTAGTCCAAATATTTTGGAACAAAAGTAACGCATCAAAACTTATTCAGGAGGAAATTAAAAGGAGACTGAATTCGAGTAATTCTTGCTACCATTCAGACCAGAACCTTTTGTCTTCTCGTCTGATGTCTAAAAACGTAAAAATTACAATATCCAAAACGATAATTTTGCATATGGTTGTGACTGTGTGCGAAACTTTGTCTCGGACATTGAGAGAGGATCATAGGCCGGGGGTGTTTGAGAACAGGGTGTTGAGGAGAATATTTGGAACGAAGAGAGATGAAGTGACAGGAGGTTGGGGAAAACTGCATAATGAGGAGCTTCATAACTTAACTTTTCTTTGAATATAATTAGAACGATCAAGTCATGGAGGATGAGATGGGCTGGGTATGTAGCATGAAACGGGGAGAAGCAAAATGCATATAGAACACTGGTGAGAAATCCAGAAGGAAGGAGACTAGTACGAAAACCAAGACGTACGTGGGTGGATCTTAGAAAATTGGATGGGGTGGTATGGACTGTATTCGAGGGATGTTTGCGAACATAAAAATGAAGCTTCGCTTTTCAATAAATGGATGAAAAAATTTTCAGGAAAAATCTATATCATAGGACTGGTAACAAATCTAGGAATGTATGAGTTCTAAGACTCCCACGAAATCTGTCCTCTTGAGGTCTGGTGAAGAAGCAACCGCCTCGAGGCTTCCTGGCAGAAGAAACGAGACATATGGGATTCCTTAGACGCTGCTGTGTAGTAACATTAAGAGACGAACTGCAAAGTGTAGACATTGGAGGCACGTTTAAAACTAGAAACTGAGCAGATAAGCAAACATTAGCATATAAATTGGAGATGATAGGTTGAAAGTATAGAAATAATACGTGAAGTGGCGTTACCTAGGCTCCGAAAGAAAACAACAGACATAACAAGGCCTTCAAATAGACGGAAAGACCAATTTCACACCTGAATTTCGTAGTAGACTCGAAACCAGGTCAACCTAATCTCTGCGGGGAAGAGATGTGAAATGTTTGCCTAATGAAGGCTGTTCAGGTAATCCATTGGATTAAGCCAGAGATGGATCCAAAGCCGGTATGGATGTCAGTGAACAAATAATTTCCCAGTTTTCATTCTGGAAATCAAACCTCGGGTTTTGTAGGACCCAATCACTTTACTGACTAAGCTTCAATGGTTGTGTCGTAACATGCGACTAGCGTTTTCTGTTCGTCCGACAAAAAATAAAACATAGTTAAATAAAAAGTTAGTTTATTCTCTTTGTTTCATGAGGCACAACGCCAGGATGAAGTATGGGAGAACAGAGTTATAACTGCGCACATTCTTAACCTAGACATTACACACAGGTGAGCGATCAGCTTCAGGCTCCTGCCATATTACCCCCGCGGAATGCGCCTTTGTTACTCATTACATAAGGGGCTGTGTTCGGTCCAGAGCCAGTCTGGAAGCTTGGAAAAGATAAATATCCCTTCTCCCTGCACGGAATCGAACCTGGTTCCTCGGTCATCCAGCACGTATCCTAAAAGATATTCGGGATAGCTGAAAATCGATACAGAAGCTACTGGGATTAGAAATCTGTTGCCGTGGTAACGTTCCATTTCCATGGTGCTTACCCTGAGTGACACCTGTAAGTGTCAGCTGATAACCTCTTATCGCGTGAGGCATGACACTGTAAGCCAACTCTCGTACACTCATACGCTGCCTCTGTAATGTGTAGGACTTCCAATCGTGCGCATGAAACAAGGGCACATGCGGCTAAATGTCATTGGACCCGACACTGAAGGCAGAAAATGCTTGCTGTTTAATATCGAGAAATGCAATTTTCGTAGCCAGTAGGATCCAGCGGCCAAACCGTTTCTTAAATTCTGCCTTAAAAGTTTCGACAGAAGTTGCACGAAAGTGTTATTCTTTTTCCTCTTCAAAGGATATGACCTCAGGCGTCTTCCATCTTCAGTATCGTTGTCTTCACTGTCTCGTGTCTTCCTGTAATCTCTGAGTTCTTCCGAGTTAGGAGTACATTTGCATCCACTCTTAAAATGTGTTCATAGCAGTTATTCTTATGCTTTACCATTTCATCGTTTTGACGTTTTTATATTTAACTGGTAACATATACAAATGTTTCTCTTACAGTATAGGAGGCTAAATCCAGCCAGTGATCTTAGGAACGTCATCTCAGCTGACATGATCTTTCTTTATCCGATAAATTATCCGCTTTCACAGCTGTTCACTGTAAACTGTTTGAGATCATTACATCTCACTTCACAATTTACATTTAAGTTTGTTGAAGATCATATAGAGAAATTTATCACAATTTGTGTGAGCAGAATTCTTATGGATAACAAATACTGCTGCAGACACTGTTATCCAGTGTCATTCAATCTGTGATCCGTGAATCACACTATTCTGCAACTTAATTTGCAATGGCAGGTATACCATGTTTTATCAAACTTGAAAAAATAAATAAGAAAGCCATCATTACGGAACTTGCTCTATCCTTTTGCTATTTCCTCTTTCTAAGTATCAAGTATTCCTCAAGACTCCATTTTCTCAAACATCGTGAACCTGTGTGCTTCCGTGAGGGTGTCGGATCAAGTTCCTTTACAATAAATCTATTTGCTGGTTTTCAAGAAGAGGCCACAAATCGATTATTTGGAATCACTTATCTACCTACCAACTACCTGTCTATCTGCCCGTCCGTCCGTCCGTCCGTCCACCAACCCATCCATCCATCTGTGTACCTACCTATCTACCCACCTACCTACCTACGGCTCTACAACCCTTGTGGACCTTGAGAGTTGTTTCAGTTTCTGAATCCTATACACAGTCGGTAGGACTCCTTGGACGGAGGATCAGCCCTTCGTAAAGCTGCTACCTACACACAAACACATAATAAACGCACGCAGACATCCATGCCTCGAGTAGGATTCGAACACATGATCCCAGTGTTCGAGCGGGCAAACACGGTTCATGCTCTAGACCGCGCGGCCACTCTGACCGGCCAGGAATCAGTTAGCTGTGTACTATTAATCGATAAGACGTAACACAGTTTTTCGTAACTGATACAAATCAATGTAACTAGAGCTAGCCATGCAGAGAGCATCAGAAGGGTGCAGTCAGGCCTTCACTAAAAGCCGATATGTTTGTTATTTGCAGGCCCGCAGTTGATACACAGTCAAAACATTTTTTTCAGTATGATGGTGGTCTCTACATACTGAGGCCTAACGGTTAGAGAGTATCTGAATAAAATATCTAAACAGAAGGATTGGGCGGGAAGGACCAACCCCTTCGTCCACTCGCTCCACCGATATAACCACACAGGATTTTTCCTTTTTGGGGTTATATGAAGGACCAGGTATTCCATCCGAATGTTTGAATGGTTGAATTCCGTGCAAGACTCGAAAATGCAGTTGCTTCCGTGACACCCAAGATGTTGGAAAACATATGGCGTGAAATCGAGTGCCGTTTGGACAGTCTGCGAGTTACAAATGGTGCTCACATTGAGATGTATTGAACTTGATGATTTGTTATTGCAAATAAAGCAGACCAATTCCCTTTATCTCGTACACTCTAAGTTTTGTGTATACTTGAACTGGTGAACGAATTGTGGTCAGCCCATAATTCTGTTTCCCAATTGGGAAGCACAAGCAGAGTCAGACAGACAGCGCCACCAACAATGCCAAAGAAAGGTCGGATAGATTTGTGGAAGGTTGTCACAGATAAATACGAACCAGACACGAAGAAACACACGCTGAATAATGAATAAAAACAACGGCGGGATTGAACACAGGATCAACTGGCCGGGTTTCTCCGGCGTGCTGAACAGATTTGCGCAAGAGAAGGAAAAAGAAGAGACAAAAGAAATAAATTGCTTTACCCTGGGGAGACCGTAAAACATGGACAACGAGTCAACAATGTCACGTTCCAAGGGGTCAAATTTAACCTGTTAAGTTGTGCTCATGACGTATCAGTGGAGAGCAAACATTTGTTTTCGAAGTAATTTATGGCGCTCATATTTCTTTAAATGCTTTCACATTCACAAAGATCATATAAATTAAAAATATTAATGGAATTAAACTGATTCTATACTCTTTCCACCAACATAAATATGTCTATCTGCATCTTTCTGAGACTCAAACCCTAAGTTCAGTGTAAGATTTTATATTCACAACTTGTCATAATTCTAAATTTCAAATATGCGATCATATTATGACTCCTCATTTATCACCATTAGATAAAAAATGAAATATAAATTTGGGTCTCATTAAAAAATGATATTAACAGGCCAATCAACTGCAAATGTTATACAAATTATTCAGTATATAAACTTTAATATTTCTGCATTTTAGTATGAGTGTGTTACTTCCATCTCAGAAATTCTCATGACTTTAGTGATATTTCCTTAATGATAATGAATTACAATTTAACCACTGGATTATACACCATATCATAATGCTCTCTCCGTGTTTAATTGAAATACAATAACACGAATAAAATTTATTAAAGGAAAATATTACCACGTAACTTGGTAACGTGACAAGTAATTAATGGGTTCCGGATTAGATGAATCGATTTATTGATATTCACCAGGTGTAATTACTATTAGTTGTAACACAATCCTACTGTAACTATAACACTTCGTAACTACGAACAATGTTAACACCACATACACTGAAGATTTCACTTCTGACTTACGACCATTTTAAGGCATTCAAGAACATTAATCAGAATCGTTTAGTTACGGAGACCAGCAGTGAAAATATATATTTGATGTTTTCTATTTGAACGGGCCTACAAAACCCTCAGAATTTGCCGCGAACATCGTAGAGTACAGGTCAAAATTTTCTCACCCCTGTAACAGAGAAAGTACTTACGTAGAGAGCGCCGTCTGGTCAAGAAGCAAAGCAGTCGACAGTGAAACATTTCACCAGAGCGGGAAACTGCTGGATACGAGCCGGGAATATTTCATCAGAAGAGCTGTTGAAGAGAAAATCGTGAAAGTTAGATCATTAAAAAGTATAATCTGTAATAAATAATAAGTACATTTACTGGTTGTGTATTATGCGCAGTAGAACTGGATGGGAGATTCATTATGAATAGTCACGTGGGATATCTGTGGTCCTTGAATTTGAATTATGTAACCAGATGACCGGACCCTTCCCACGGTACCTACATATTCAATCCGTGAAAAATGCCTCTGACTTCAGTGTCTCAAAGTAGACTCATTTCTTTCACCGGGACCTGAGTCTGTTGTTTAAAAATTCAAAACTAGAAAAAACTCTCTTTTGATCTACTGTACACTTCTGGAATTCCATTATAAATGCTACTACAAGAAATATATAAATGAAAAATATTATATTATAAAGTGTTCTGACAACTGTGTACAGTATAGCGACGGGCTATGGGCTGGACGACCCGGATTCCATTCCCGTCATTGAAAGTTTATTACCTTCTCCACAGCGTCCAGACCGGCTCTGAGACCATTCAGCCTATCGAATGGGTATCGGGGGCTTTCCCCCGGGGGTAAAGAGACTCACAATCAATCCTGAGTCGAACGTTCTTCCTTGACTGTCGAGGACTCGCTTCATTTCCGTTCTGATTTGATTCTGTCCCGTCTCGAGGTGGACCCATAAAAAACACAGCTCCGTTGCCTAGAAACGGAAGGTAACCGATTCTTTCCTGCGTATTCGTTGGTTAAATCTATTAATTTTGTTTACTGTGAAACAATATAAACTATTTGCCTTTTCAGTTATGTAATTATAAATATTGCTGGTGCTTTAATGAAGCACCAATCCATGAAGACATGTGAAATATACTCCATGGATTCTTAACCTCGGCACTAGATGCAGAATGTCGTTGCCCAGCAACGGGTCTACATATCACAATATTATTTAAGAGGACGGAACAGGTGAAACATGGCATATTCCATTAAGAAAATGTGATGTTGATGATGGAAAATTTATTCAAGGTAAAAAAGGAGGTTCATTTCCTGGGTTTACGGGAGTAATAATTAATGAGGATCCTTGCTTTTGATAATACGACAGAAGGAATTGGCAACAGACTAGCAGAGGAATAGATCAGGCCACATTGCCTGTGGAGCTAGCACACAGCGGAGGTTGGCTGAAGGTTGAGACGGCTAACTGGATGGAACCTCGTAACCCTGCAGAGGAAACTGAAAGAATCGTGCGGTGGAGAATAGGAAAAGACAGACAGGCTGATGTAGAATAATGAAGCCGTACTTTTAAAATGAAACCAAGCTTCGAGTGTGGGACGTAGGAACAACGCACATTTCAGTGAATAAAGAAACCTACAGTCAGATATGGAGTTGCGACGTTAGGCCCAATGCTGTTAAGTATGTGGCAAGGCAGGAGCAGCAGAGCGCGGCAGAAGTAAGCAATGGATTTCCATCTCTTACTGTATAATTCTTCTTCTTATTATTATTATTATTATCTTTGTATACATAACAACGCTTTCAGCACCTCAAATTATACAGGTAAATTTGTTCCTAATTAAGCACTACGCCATGAGGGAGTGGATGTACAGACCCACGTTTTCTTGACCTAGGCAATAATTGGTGAGTGATCAGCTTCACGCCTCGGCCGTTTTATCCCCGGGGAAAATCACCCGGTACCCATTGGACAGGAGGTTGGGTGGGCCCCAGAGCCGGACTGGACGACATGAAGAAATGAAAAATTTGCTCCCACCGGGACTCGAACTCCGACCCCTTGGTCGTCCAGTACGTAGTCAGTCGCTACACCGACTGTGCTATCCCGGGTGTCATATTATACAGGTACCGTTAATTACGTGATTTGAATGAACTGAAAAGGACATGTAAGGAAGGGCCAGTGACGTTATCTTAGGCATTGTCCCGGGGTCTGCCTAGGGAAATAGAAAAACTAGGAGAAAACTGAGTGAAGACTGTCTGTGTCCTGGCCAATATTAGAATCGATCACCTTTCGAAAACAGGTCAGCCTGTTAGGTAGTCCAATCTCACCTCCCTCCTGTAACATTTATAGTCTATCCCAGAGGAGCAAATATTTTCTTCAGAGGAAAACATCACTGCTGGACAGTTTTACAAAGTTTTAGGGAGCAAATGTGGGGAGTGGGGGTGGAGAGTCCAAGAAATGACTCCAAGTCATCCTCTTCCTTTCTAATCTATGATAAAGCCTAAAACCAGTTTCAAGATGAAATTAATCGTTCCGTCCATCCATTTGTTTGCTTGGCTTTATCTGGACTTCCTATGCGATTACAAAAATAAGTTTGTCTCTGGAAACGTTCGACTGATAGACAGATGGACCATTCGACATATGAATTAACTGCACGACTCATACGTCATTATCATCATCATTATCATCATCGACAAAACAGCCTTTTGTGAGCCAGAGCCTTCCTTAGAAGATTCTGCCAGATTGCATCTGATTTTCGCATCAACAACTTTTTACCGAGCAAGAAGAGGAATGCATATGGGATATTGGTGGGAAAGCCAGAAGGAATGAGTTCACAAGGTAAGCGAAGAAGTGTGTGAGTGGACAATATTAAAATGGATCTTACAGTGATAGAGTGGGATCGTATGGATTGGATTGGTCTAGCTCAGGATAGGGACCAGTGGAGGGTCTCTGTGAACACGGTAATAGACTTTCGGGTTCCATAAAATGCTGGGAAGTTCTCGAGGAGCTGCACAATTGGCGGCTTCTCAAGAAGGGCTCAGCTCCATGAGTGAGTGAATATCAACAGCACTGCGTCCAACCCCCGCAAACTGGACTAACTGTTGAATTGCGGCTAGCCTTCGCCGGCACATTGATCCCTACTTCCGAGTCCCGCGGGACTCATGACCAAATTTAGTCTCTCAGTTTCGGGACTCCCCCCCCCCTCAACCTGGAGGGCCAGGTCACTCTATTTATGTCCCTCATAACAGGGTGGCCCAGTTATACCGCCAGGCACCACGTTTCCTTTCCATCGCCTTCTACGACTCGCATGGCTATGGTGGAGTCATTCCATCTGCCTCCGGACGGGGAACATCTCATATATGCGTACATAAAGTAAGTTGACAGTTTATAAAACGAAATTATCTTCTTCGAGGAGTGTAAAGTGTTGCGAAGGTAAAGTTCGATATGAGACGGAGGTGAATGGCTGTTTCACGTTTCGGTCACTTTACACTTAGGGAAGAAATATTCCCTCAAAATCGGAGGCACAGGGTGTTGAGTATTAATTGTCAGAGAATAACGTACACGCCACTACAGTCCATGACACTCTTAGGGCGGCTGCACACCAACTACTTCAAGACATGAGGCAAAAGACGCAGTCTTGCTTCATTCGTGATTCGTTAGCATGAAGCTGACGTCAGGACTCAGACCGATGTGCGGCAGTTTTCATTATCTCATTCGTTTCAACTGTGCTCCTTTCTTTGCGTCATGTCGTGTTTTGACTGTTACATGTCTTGACGCATACCGGTGTGCGGCCTACTTTATGTGTGTAGAGCAGCAAAAGATCGCTTGTAGTATTCGTATAGTAGGTCTGTGTAGTTCGTATCTTAAATTGTCCAGCGATGTCGGACAATAATATTGTGGGTGTTGAGATGGGTATGACATGAATAGAAGGGCTGTGACTTATTTTACGGTGAAATTGCAGCAGCATTTGTCTGAACTGAAGAAACAGAAAACATGCCAGCAGCATGGAGGGTCTCCGGCCGAGGAGTGTCGAATATGAAAACAAGTGGTTGTTTCGGAATTTATTATTTTAAAGTGTCTATATTTATAAACGAACGTGATTATTGCCTTGCCACAGTAAGTAGATGAAATAAAACCAACAAAATCTGGTAAGAACCAATCGCATACTTTCATTTGATACTAGATTGACCGTATAGAAAACGACTCGTCCAATAATTCTTCTACTGGTGTGTATATTCGCTGAAACTGTAATGACTTTACAGAGCCGTTGTTTAGCAACGAAAGGGGAGTACACATATAGATTAACAGAGCGATGGGAAAGATTTATGAAATACGCCGTTGAGATGGACTCAGGTGCCATGATATACATGCCAAGTTTCGTACAGATCGTTACAAGGTAACGACTCGGTTAACTGTATCTCTCCTCTCAGTGCTAGGCAACGTCTCGGTAAACATGTTCCAGAGGCAAAGAATACACGCCATAAATAGAAGAATTGTTGGACGCGTAATTTTCTATGCGGTCCGTGTTTTAAAATGAAAACTTGGGAGTATTTCTGTGGTCCCCTATGGTTTAGGGGCACGCGGTGACGTAGCTGGTTAAAGCACTATACTACAAGCCGGAAGGTGAGGGTGAGTCGACCCTCGAGGCCATAATGCAGCTGGAAGTATTAGGTCAACTGAAAAATCCAATGGCCTCATTGGGAATCGAAGCCGTGAACTTCCGACTCGTAGCACAAACTACTTCTAAAGAGGCATTACTGTATTTGTCATTGAGCATGGGACTATAACTTGGATAGGCGAAGTTTCCTGGGTGTACCCCGCCCAGTCTATGAAAAGGTAAAGTTGTTCCTGTGGCAGTTTAATTAAGCACTATGCCATAAACACATATTGGGGAGTGGAGGTACAGCTCCACCATTCTTGGTCTCGGTACTGAATGGAGGTGAGAGGTCAACTTCACGCCACACGCAGCATTATCGCCGGGGAAATTTTCCACCGGGGACCCAATGGATAGGAGGCTGTAGGGCCCCAGAGCCGGTCTGGACGCTGCGGAGAACAGAGAAATCTTGCCAAGCTGGAGGCGAGGGTATGTCTTTATGCAAATTTCAAAATCCTCTTATTTCATGTTTATGGGCAAAATCCGATAATTTGCATACTGCTATACTGACCCCCCTCAGGCTGGCAGTGCAGGTTAGAAGAGATAAAGCAGGGAGAATGGACCACGAGATCACTGGTCAGGAAAGCATTCTGCCACAAGTAACACTGCCATAGTAACAACCCTAGGCTGCAATTGAAACTTTTACTTTTAAATGCTGGCGTATTGGTTCATTTCACAACTCCTACTAAACCGAGTACTTTATACAGTGTCGAACTGGAGATACACCGTGAATGTTTCTTCTGTTATTTAACAGCGCTTCCTCACTTCTTGCACTAAATCACTTGAAAGACCTGGGCATATATCAGGGATAATATTTGCACAGGACTGAATGTGATTAGTATATACGGGGGTTTGTAGTGTTGATGAGATTTATTGGACTCTTCGATACACAACGCTTTAGAGTTCACTGTTACACACATACGAATACACACACAAACTAGTGTTCACAGTTATGTCTTCACTGTCGTTGCTTAGTAGTGGCTTCTAACGGCGGACGTTCTCCTTCATCCGGGTTCCCGAAATGTCCTCAGCCTCAGCTACCAGCTTCTAACAGGAACGGCTCACTAAGACTGAACTGCAGTTCTCTGACTTACTCACTAGCTCACCAATCAACTCTTCATTCCCTTGCACTGCACTAACTACCTCCCAGGCTGGCGGCCATCTCACGCCAACCTCCTACTCTTTTGATTGACTTTAACTCAGCCGATTAAAATGTAGACCTGTCCTGCCTATAAAACCTCGGCACGGACCGCGTAGAAAACACGTCTCCTAATTGTTACAGTTCAATTGTTGCTTATTAGATGTTGCCTAGCAGTGGGTGTTGTTTACTGAGTCATTACTTAGCAACGGGTCTACATGCTACAGTATGCAGAATGATTATGATGACTCAGGAAGGATGTGCAGGGAATTTGCAATGGATTATTGTTAAGTTACGATCTGATACCTTATCTGGCAGAGATGAGGAAAAGCACGAAATGGCTAAATAAGGCATCGGTCTGGTTGGCTGAGAATGGAAGATCTGATATCCCAGACATGCAAAATGAATCACTGCACCGTTAAGTTTGTCTCCCTCTGACGAAGATGATAACGAAAGCAACATTGTTGTTTTGATCATACGAGGCGCTGCACATCCACGTGTAGAAGCATGTTGATTATAACGCTGTAAAGTGGGTCTAGTGCACCGACCTGTACCTCAGAGGGGAGCGACACGGTTCCTCAACTGTACACTCCAGCTTTGAACATGAGCGCCTTGTTGTCTGTCTATTCAGTAAATCTTGCATTGTTCAAGATGGAGGCACACAAACTCTGCCATGCGGGTGGTCGGCCAGCCGGGTAAACCTGAACCAGGAAGGGTAAAGCACTTCATGACATCCCTATATAACGCTTAACTATAGCTGGTTCCTATGAAGCAGAGCTCAATTCGCAAATGGAGGCTGTGAGGCACAGAGGTGACATCTGCAGTCGAAATATTAATCTAATCCTTAGCTCAGACATGGAACTGCTCGCCAGCAAGGGATCAACTAATGAGGGCGAAGGTTTTTTATTTCTTGCGCCCCCTCCTCTTTAAACATTTGTCATGCGATCACAGAAATATCGAACCGATAAATCACGTGTTTTTTTTTTTTGCAAAGCGCACGACGCTTCTATCTGCATTTTTATTTCCATAATGACATAAATAGTCTAGCACTGAATGCCTATACTAAAAATGAATTTAACTTCATTTCTTACCAATTCAATGTAGGAGACGGCTTATTCATACTGTAAAGTGTATATCCATTGCTAGGCAACGGGTCGGTAAATATATTCCCGCTGAAGCAAAGGCGCGGAACAATATAGCATCCATTGCCATGTAACGGACCAGTAAACACACATCCTTAACAAGAGAGGACGGTGTTTTCCGAGGGGTCAGTGCAACGTGTTTATAATAAGTATTCGGCTGGACAGGAGTAGTAGAAGAAGAATACAGCGAAGTACATTAGAGTAGTCGGAAGAGAATTGGATCGAGTTCTGCAGATGGAAGTCGAAGATGGCCGAGAGGAAATGCCAAGAAAAGAATTAGATTGTGCCAAGACGATTTCATGTGTAAACTGAAGTGACAGACTGTGATAAATCCGTTGCCAGGATACGACTAGTGAATACTGAAAATCCTAGTGCGTGCGTAACGGTGAACTGGAAAGTGTGTAGAATAGCGATAGCGCAGTATAGCCTCTAGTCCCGAGTCGTGTGAAGCTATAAGATGCAATAAATCCAATCAACCGATCCAAAACCCCGTCTTATAAGTCACAACCCAACAGATGACAGTATGAAGGGAGACTATCTGGTTCGATGCAATTGGGAACGGGCTTGCGTCCCTCATGAGGATTGTGTACATCTAACAACCCAGAGTAAAAATAAGTATTATAAAGGCCCTTGGAACTGACAGGCTTTTATGAACATGGCAATTAAATTTTTGCCCCATAAAGGCGGAGTATTTCTTAATTAGCTAAGCGACTATTGGGTTATCAAGGAGAACTCATCTCCGTAGAAATGCATGTGCGGTATGATCGAACGGTGACAGAGCGATTCTCCTCCAGCCTAAGGACTGGGTCGGTACTAACAGCACCTCACTCTAAAAAGCGCTGTGTTATGAAATGTTATACAGGACCTCGAGTATGGCACGCCTTTGCCGAGACGGTAATGAACTATCAGCTTCCATAAAGAACGGCACACTTCTGGGCTAGCTGAGTGACCACTAGAATCTCCAGCCCTCAGCTGCATGGAGTTACTTTTCTCGTTCGCAATCAATTATTTATTCATCATAATTCATAAAGTTATTTAAAGGGACTGGAAGGCGAGACATGCAACAGGAGTGAAACCTGTTTATTTATATTATGTTTAAGCATCCTGTTGCACTATACACTTCTATATGTAATAATACAAATGCCGTCGTGAATGCAACAGTTTATTTGGTTGTAGATCTTTGTCTTTCCTTCCTCTACACTACATGTTTCGGCCGTAATTGGCCGTCATCAGGTGTATTTTTCACTATGTAGCTGTCACACTGCACACAGTCCAAAATCTAAAACATTACAGCGTCTTCACCAAGCTGACTGTCACAAGCTGACACTGATTACCGCGTCCGGATGAAATTCCTGTTACGGGGAGAAGTAAATGTACTTTGATGGGGTAGAATGCAGATGATTCAGGGTAAAGATACTTTCTTGTGCAAGAGAAAAAGGGTTAATATATCTAGCAGGGAGTAATAAATATTTTGTTCTTACATAGCATAATGGTAAGATAAAATTTTCCCTGTGCTTAACTAATTAAACACTACTCCATGAAGGCGTATGGAGGAGTGCATGTATAGATCGACATTTTCTTGACCTCGGCACTAGTTGGATCTGATTTGTCAGCTACACTCCTCGGCCGCTTTACCCCAGGGGAAAGAGCTCCCGGTACCCATTGCATAAGAGGTTGGGTGTACCCCAGAACCGGTCTGGACGACGTGGAGAAGAGATTATTCTTTACTCTACCGAGGCTCGAAATCCGACCCCTCTGTCGTCCAGGCCGCAGCCAGTCGAGCATGCTATTTTGTTTACAGTAGTAGGGCTGGATTTAAGAGGAGCGACCGAGGTAGTCGTCCCAGGGCGTCCAGAAAACAGACGTAGTATCCATGAGTTTTGCCGAGACATATACTTCCATAAAATCACAAAATCTTTGTTTGCATTTATAGTGATCACAAGAAATACGAACAAAAAGATATACCTGTCATATCTTAAATTTGTTTTTACTGATAGGGGTTTCAACATTCTGAATTCTCCGGGGCTCCCCATTACCGCAAATTCCGCCATAAATAGTAGATCTAATGTTCCTTAAATTGTATAAGTTTTGTCTGCATATGGCGAGGAGAACTTAACAAAAATCGAAAGCAAATCTCTGTAGGCTGGGGCGGCATTCGAACTTTACTCTGGCTTTTCTAGGGCCCAAAATGTTTCCAGCCTGAAGCGGCGTGGTCGATGCACTAGCAGGTGTTATTTTCAATCAAGTTAGAAAGAGTCCCCGCCCAAGAGATTATTAGAAGCATTAAGCTACCCCAACTGTACGAAGCCGGGATAGCGTAGTTGCTATAGCGACTGGTTACGGGCTTGATAACCGAGGGTTCGGATTTCGAGTCCCGATAGACTCAAAATTTTTTCTTCTCCACATCGTCCAGACCGGCTCTGGGGCCCACCCAGCCCCTTATCTAATGGGTACCGGAGGCTATTTCTCCGGTGGTAAAGCGGCCGGTGCGTGAAACTGACCACTCACCTCCAACTATTGGCGAGTCAAGAAAAGTGGATCTATACATCCACTCCCCATACATCTTCATAACGTAGTGCTTAATTATTTAACCACAGGGACAATTTTACTTTTACTTTAGTTTACTTTCCCAATTGTACAGACCATGAACTGCTGTAGTAAACTATGAATTAGGAAGGACATAGTAGTAGTCGGGGCTTATTTAATGGGACTAGCTCAAAATGAATTCATTAGAATACGGTAAGCGAAGTTCTATCATATAGTGATAATAAGAAAATGTACATTTATGCAAGTTTGAAATAGGGAAAAATATTAATAATATCGCGTAAAATTAAATAATTTTTTAATATTTTTCTAGACATCTGTGGGATATATACGTCCCAAAAGGCTCGCAAGGGTTAGCTGGGAGTCTTGAATAACTTGTACAGTAGACGCGACAGCAAAACCAAACAATGAGCTCACTAAACGTCGTATCCAAGATTTCATCTTACGGCAATTTACCAGCAGTAGTATGAGTAACTTGTGGTCTTACCTTCACAATGTCAGTATTTTCTATGCATGTCCTTATGTCGAGGGTGCAGTGTAGGACGTCGCCCAAGATGACAGAAGAGTCAGTCACGGAGAACATTATGTGAGTCAGCGCAGAAATGTAAGTGCAGTCTGCTGCAAGGAAGCTTGCCGAAACACGCGCGGTCTGTTTCGTTGAGGAGACGGTCCTGGAAAACACAGCAACGCTCGAGGTACTGCAGCCGCAGACACTCTGCCCCCTCCTGCAAGCAGAACCCCAAGTCTAACGAATGTTTTGCCAACCACTCAAGTACTCCTATGGATCTATACGAGAGTCAAGGATTTCAAGACGCTGGACAATTTAATTGTGGTTGTCTTCTGGGTTATCATTTCCTGTAATCTGATAGATGGATAGCAGAGTTTCAGAAGTACTGCTGCTTCCACCTTCAGATTCTTCCATGAAAATAGAGGCAATAACTTTCTTCGAAACACTCATATCCATCTAAGAAACCCAGAAGACCACAGGTTAAGTAGATACCAGTAGATAATCAGCTTCTAACAGAAATGAGTACCAGGATTCTTCCTGTAGGTAAAGGGCGGCCGGGGCGTAAGGCTGACAACTTCACCGTCTGCAAGATGATTGTCCAGAATATGTATGAGCCTTGACGTCTCACAACCTTACGAGTCTCCAAGGCCTGTTACAGGGATAGTTTTACTTTTTCACTTTTATAATTTTAAATTTCCCACAGACCATAAAATAACTAGATCTTAAATTGGAATTTAAAGGAAACATCTTAGAGACATCCTTTCTCTGTAACCGGCCAAGTACCGTGTCAAAGAGAAAACTTCAGGCTTAAAGACAAAGGGTGTTATAGTGTGCTCCATATTCAGAGCTATCGCATGCCTCAGGAGTGCGGTGATAGATAAATACAGAACAATTGTAGAATGGTGATTAGAAAGGGAAAGCCGAAAATCGAGAAAGCCTGTTCCATGTTATTTTTTCATCGAGAATCTCGTATGAGGTAACCCGGGATTTGAACCTGAAAATCGGCAGTGATGAGCGAACGCCTAACCACTTGAGCTACAGCACTGCCTTTCAGAGGAAATGGTAAAGACGTTTACGTAAGAGGAGAAACCGTCAGGGAATGGAATCTTCCAGACAGAAGGGACTGAGTTCCTTGTCTGCACACACGCAAACATGCCTCAGTAATCTGTTTGCACTCGCAAGGAGCTCTCCCACCCACAACAATATCCATGCCGGCGATAAATTGCCGACAGCTTAACTACTGCGACATTACTACTGCGGGGTATTTCCGTGACACGGCAAACAGCACTAAATTTACCACACAAATATTCAAATTGTTCCACAAACAACCACATTTACTTCGAGTAGTCGTTTCCTACTACTACGACTTTTAAAAGAGTGCTTTATACCCTTCTTTAAGGTTGTAATTAAATTTGGCGTCAAACTTTATTTCAGGAATTAGGGTAGATCAGTCGGTATAGCGACTTCTTATGGGATGAAAGATCTGGGTTCGATTCCCGGTAATGCAAAGTTTTCTCTTTCCTCCATGACGCCCAGACAGATTCTGGGGCCCACCTAGTCTCCTTTCCCATGCGTACAAGGGGGCTCCTTCCTCGGAAATAAAGCGGCAGGTCTGTGCAGCTCACCACTCACCTCCATCTAGTGCCGAGGTCAAGAATGGTGGAGCTGTACCTCCGCTCCCCTATATGCCTTCATCGCATAATGCTTATTTAATTAAGGGATAAGTATGCCTTTCTTCGAACTTTATTATGATTTCCTTAAAGTGGAAATATTTGGAGTTGGACATGGCGTAAATATTAGGTAACGCTGTTTGCTAAATGGACAAACGGATGAAATGGGAGCTGTATCCTGAATTCAACGTAGGTTTTACAGATACGGTAGGTCTATTGCAAAATTATTAATTGAATAAATACGGAAAACAAACAAAGACTTCTTATTACAGCATTTAGTTGGGAAGCCTGACGGCAATAGCCGAAACTCATGTTTCCTTCAGTGTACCTGGAGCAATATTGATGTTTCTGAAAATCAAAGTTTTAATAACAGAGAAACTTCACGAGATTGACGTTCACATGAAGGTGACTCTTCTGGCGTACTACAACACCGTGTACTCTGGTAGTTCGTTACCAACACATTTCGGAAAAGTATAGAAGGTGGAGGAGACAACGTCAGTAAGGATATACTAGATTATACGGTGTCACATCCTAGAAGACAGCAATATTCAAACAGAAAAAATTGACTAATATTGTATTACATTGTGATATGACGGCTGAAAGCCGGAATGTTGGACCAAAAAGAATGCAGCCGTTGCTAAACGACGGCGTGATTAGTTCTACACAGCTACTCGCCCAAACATCCACAAGCTCGACCTACAAGAGAAAACAAATACAGAAACACGCACAAAAACATAAGTTCATGTAAGAAAAGTTTACTTCTGCTCCGATCACAACAACTATAACGGATAAGAAATATTTAAATGTTTTGGCATATAATTTTATACGTCGGCATTGAAGAGAAGACCACTTCTGCAAGAAGACCAACAACTCAACAATATTGTATAACAACAAACTACAACAAACATAACATTTTAATATTTGACCTAGAGTATTATACGTTGGCATTAACACTGGTAAATACGTAATATGTATAATCCTACCTTCTGCAGTTGTAATTTTAGCCTCTATAAAGGATAGGAGGAGAGAAGCAGCGAGTCTAAATATTCTACTTGACGATGGACATAAGGAGATGAAATATATTGTAAAATAAAAATAATACTTAAAATTTATTCACGAATCGTGTTGACGGAGACAATAATAACCTAAAATATTTCCGTCTGTTGATTGGCAGAACGGTGGTCCATAGGTATTTCATTAATATATTTCAGAAGTCACTTTAACTTAATGAAATGTTATATATATATACATTATTGCTATTATTCAAAATTTAATTCCTCTGTGAAACAAGCTACGACACGAAAATTAACTTCATGGAGCTGATGCAAAGGATATGGAAGGAAGTTGTCCTGGCCAAATTTAAGGTGTTATCCTGGAACTTTCCTGGACTGATGAAGACCTCGAAACCCTTCAGTCGGAATAGTTTTTCGGGCAAAAGGATTGGGCACGGGATCTACAGAATATTAAGCAGGAATGCTAATTATCACAAAGGTTTTGGCCATCCCTACGAAGGTAAAGTGGTTCTGCTGTGCCCAGGGCATAACCTACAGTCAGAGAGACAGAGAGAGAGAGAGAGAGAGAGAGAGGTAGAAGCAACCTCGTGGCGCCTTTGTGGCGTAGGCGATACAAAATTGAATCTCGAGTGGGTTCTGGAGAGTGGGGTGCATTTCACTAGGGATCACAAGGGATCGGCAAACTTTGCAGAAAGTGCGTCATAGCTATGAATCACTGCGACTTTACAAGCCGAAACAGAGGATGTAAAGAGGGTAAAGTATTGGCGCTACAGCCCAGTATAAGCCTCGACGTCCTTGCGGATGTACAGGAAGGACATTTCTTAAGCTTGTATCCCAAACGCAGGCGAGTGTCTAGTGTCAGGTCCACATCTCTTGCCTCCCGGGATGAGATAGTTGGCTGGATCCAGAACCGGTCTAGATATGGTGCCGAAGACAAGAATCTCCGCCCCCTGCTGGAATCGAACGTCGATTCTCTGGTCGACCAGACCCTGGTACTGTATCCCGATTATGTTTCAAGTGTTATAGCAGTAGAACCGCTTCCGTGAACTAATGATCAGAGTTCCTGGCTACAGATCCAGAGGTCCCGGATTCGATTCCCGGCGTTACCACATTTTCTGAGAAGTAGTGGGTCTCGAACGGGCTGAGGATAATTGAGGAGCTATTTGAAGGACATAGAGGCTCCGGTCTAGAAAACCGAGATTAACGGGGAACCGTTGCGCTGACCACGTGACACCCTCTATCCTCAAAATTGGCACTAACTTCGCTGACAAGCGGCGGTCCCTCGGTCGGTATAGTTCGCTTGCGGACTACAGGCCACGGAGATTCACCGGGATGTCCGTCTTTATCAACTACCTCGTGTAGCCACACAGAGAGGTAAGCAAGGTAAGTTTAAAGCTTACTGCGTTGAGTTACGTTACAATATATAAATCTGTATTCGTAATATAATCTATGAGGACAGAGATTAGCAGGGATCATGTATCAGAACAGCATATTTTGAATGAAATGTCTTTTGGGCCGATTTTGTTTGTTGTAACAGTAACGCTCTAGACTTGTATTCTGGGTGTGTTCGGTTCGTATCTCGGCCAAGACACAGGCTAACCTATTTTAATCGTGTATATACTCAGTCCATTCCAGGCTCCAGTTTAGTACCTTCGTTGGGTCACGATCCCTTGTTCTGAAATGCTTTGCAACTGATTATTCACCAACTGTCCTAGAACTCGATATTATGCAATCCATATAATCACAGAGACTGACAGCATCGTTAAATAAACAACTAAGAAAAATACTTTCTGATGTAAGATCCTGAGACACGCGATAGCGTTGTTAGTTGAGGCATTATGCTTACAAACCGAAAGGTCGCGGGTTTGATTCCCGATGTGGTCACTGGATTTTTCAATTGACCTAATCATTCAAACAGCACAATGGCGATGGGGTTGACTCAGCCTCTAACAGAAATGAGTACCAGGAATATTCCTGGTGGGTAAAGGGAGGTCGGCGCGTAAGGCTGACAACCTTACCGCCACCTGTGAGCCGATTGTCTAGAAAATGCGGAGCCTCGACGTCTCGCAACCCTATGGGCCTCCACGCCTGTTACAGGGATATATTTTTATTTAACATCCTATAAAATAACCTCTTCCAACACTCGGGATGTTCATTAAAGTACGAAAATGACAAGTACATTTAAAAGTATTAAAAATTTTCACGATTACTTATTGATCGTAGCACATCAGAACATCAACATCCTGTTGAAATGTCTATTTTCCCCATATATTCGCTCCCGTCCCCGTGCAAATTGCACGAAGATGTACGTAAGACTGACAACCTTACCACCATTTGTGGGCCGATTGTGAAGATGATGTAGAAGCCTCGACCTCTCACACCCTTAAAGCCCTCAATGGCCCGTTACAAGGATAACTTTACCATAAAGAACTCAGAATGTCAAATTTATAGGAGTTCGTTCATAGTAAATAATATTACTACATGCCTAGAGTCACAATACCGGCGTTAAAGCGATATCGCACTGCCAAATGAGT